CTCTAAAAGCAGGAATCAGCTCAGCAGAAGGAGGGATTTACCTCTGTGTGAAGGACCTGAGGGGAATCAACCCTCCGGAAAAGGGACGGAAGCTTTGGAGGGTCATTTCCTGCCCGCCTGGTGCCAAACACCTTCAGCCCCGTCTGCAGAACCAGATTAAGAACGCTTTAGTCTCTAGCTTTCAGTCTCCAGCTTTCAGTCTCCAGCTCCTCCATAAGTCTGCAGAAAGTCTGGAGAAAACAGGCCAGGCCGGTTTATTTTACAGCACATTTCCTGTACTGCTAACAAATGGTGTGTGTGTGTGTGTGTGTGTATGTGTGTATGTGTGTGTGTGTGTGTTTTGACCTAAAGGTGGATCTAATGCAACAGAGAGAGAAAAAGGAAGAATCTGTGGTTAAAGCTGGACAATTTAAGACAAAAATATAGTTATAAAAGAAAATAAAACAATCAGTAATTAGCATAGATCATGTGATAGCATACTATGCTAACGTGAGTAATTATAGCCAAAATTTGGACATTTTTTAGCTTTGTCTGCTAATGGCTCTGTGATGTGAATCAGGTGTGTTGAAACATAGAAACCTCCTAAACAGCCAGAGAATTTAACACAAATTATAGTTATAAAAGAAGATAAAACAATCAGTGATTGACATAGATCATGTGCTAGCATACTATGCTAACGTGAGTAATTATAGCCAAAATCTGGACATTTTTTAGCTTTGTCTGCTAATGGCTCTGTGATGTGAATCAGGTGTGTTGAAACATAAAAACCTCCTAAACAACCAGAGACTTTAACACAAAATATAGTTATAAAAGAAAATAAAACAATCAGTAATCTACATAGATCATGTGCTAGCATGCTATGCTAAAGTGAGTCATTTTAGCCAAATTCTAACATCTGGACATTTTTTAGCTTTGCTAATGGCTCTGTGATGTAAATCAGGTGTGTTGAAACATAGAAACCTCCTAAACATCCAGAGACTTTAACACAAAATATAGTTATAAAAGAAAATAAAACAATCAGTAATCTACATAGATCATGTGATAGCATACTATGCTAACGTGAGTATTTATAGCCACATGCTAACAGTCCCTTTCTCTTTTTTCCCTCCCGGGCTGAGGACTGAGTCGGTGGATAATGTTTACTGACTTCTGGGCGATGTTTCGGAGCCTCAGAGCTCCAGACGTCTTGTTTCTTGTTTCTGTGTTAGTGAGAGGTCTACAGTAGATAATCCATCACCGTTTGGCACCGTTTGGCACCCCTCAGCTGCCCCCCCCCCCCCCCCCCTGCCTGTGGCTGAATGTCTGAGCGTGTGTGAACTGGCAACCGGCCCAAAGTTCCTCCAGCCATAAGATCAGAACGAGACCTGACAGCTAACAGCTAACGGCTCCTCATGCTAACGTTTCCCCGCATCCCTGTGAAGGAAACTCTGCATTAAGCTCCGGAATTCACCTTCAAACTAAGCTAGATATCCACTTTTGTGTTGTTGTTTGCCTGTTTGGAGGCCACGTTTGGAGCTGAGAGTAATATTACAGCATTATAATTATTAAACTATTTTATCAGATCAGAACGAGACCTGACAGCTAACGTTTCCCACACAGCTCCTCATGCTAACGTTCCCACACAGCTCCTCATGCTAACGTTCCCACACAGCTCCTCATGCTAACGTTCCCACACAGCTCCTCATGCTAACGTTTTCCACACAGCTCCTCATGCTAACGTTCCCACATAGCTCCTCATGCTAACGTTTTCCACACAGCTCCTCATGCTAACGTTTTCCACACAGCTCCTCATGCTAACGTTCCCACACAGCTCCTCATGCTAA